TGAGTATCAAATCCCATGTTGTCCCTAAAAAGAGATGTATCTGTATGAGTAGGTGTGGGCACATCTAAGCTTTCGGTGCTTAAACCCATCATTTCCAATAACAGACACTGAACGTGAACCAGGAGATAGTTCATAAGTTTGCTTTAATGGACAAATTCTTGGATTAATAACTCTATGTGGAGAAAGAAAGGGCGAGACCTGTCTGGCAAGCCCACAAGGTGCAGGACATGGAGAGTTCTGCATAGTTAGTGCATTGAATTGATTTATGGGTCATATGTTGGGAACTGGTTGATTATCAGACCTAGTTCTCTGGCTCACATGGTTAGACCTTTCCATTGCTATAATTGTATCGCATTAGAAGATTACAATATTAGAACTCATAAGAGTTAAAATGAATACATAATAAATAGAGAAAACTATCTTTAAGCAACCATGTCCATACGTACATTCATAGTAAGGATTTAGCAATGATCTAAAGGTTTACTTGGATGCCTTAACAATAGAGGAAATGTTTATTAGATGTGTAGTTATTTATGAAATATTCACTACAATGCCCATCTATACTGAATGATGCACATCTCTACTTATAATATGCATGTACTGTATTATTAAACTAGGAAACCAGTCGGGAGGTGTTCAGATGCTGGTTCTAGAAACATGACTCTTATACCACTCTTAATGCTAATACCAGTGTTTAGGAAATACAGTTTCTTTAGACAATGCTACCTAGTTTGGGGTAGGATTATCTAGCATAGAACAGGATATGGATTTTTTAGTCATCNAAATGAGTTGCACTATTAATAAAAGTTTGTACATCTTTTTGCCAGAACTGAAATTAGACGTACTCAGTCTGATCGTTAATCAATGTACATATATGTTTGGTGCTAAATGCGATATTATGGCACTAATTGTAGTTTTTCTACTTGGATAGAATATAATTCATGCTCCTTTGTACTCTATGTTCGTACTCTATGGCTAGATGTACGTATATATGTGCTTAGAGTTATGCACTTTGAGTGCTTTTGGGCGTTTGTAATCCTAATCTATTCTAGATGGTTACAAAGCCTTGATTTGTTACAGATTCATTGCACAGCAGGATTCCGGGTAATGGAAATAATTAATATTCCGAAATTATGTTTTTTCAGAATTAATTAATATTCAGAATTATCGTATTTTGGGTATAAGAGATCGAAATAATATTCAAAATTCCGAAAACGGATAGAAATCGAAATAATATTCAGAATTCCGAAAACGGATAGAAATCGAAATAATATTCAGAATTAAATTTTTTCAGAATTAATTAATATTCAGAATTAAATTTTTCAGAATTAATAAATATTCAGAATTGTCGTATAGACCAGATTTTGTTTAAAGAGGATTATCTTCTCTATACGTAAAAACCTCTATATTTTTGTAACCAGAATTATTTCAGTGCATTCACTGATAGAGAAATACAGCTGTGCAATAAAGTTATACAAATCATTTATTTCAAGATAAGACAGAAATAAATGATAACGACCTTTCCAAGGAGGTTGTGCAGGTTGACATCTCTAATGCTTCTATACTCCGAGCTCTCAGGACGCAGAGAGACGAAATGTTCAATTTCTTCTGTATTGTACAGCTTGTACAACAGGCCCTATCAGTTTTGTCGTTTATTGGAAACAAACAAACATCCAGACAGACAAGCAAAGTATGGTTTAGCTGGCTTTAAAGTTTTTTATGTTTTGTGAGACTCACTGCAACGTGCACTTAAACAGATATCCTTTCTTTGCAAGGTAAGGTGGAGATCTATATAAAAGGATAGATAGATGAATAGATGCAAATAGTCGTTTATTTAAAGGGGACTTGAACAAGGTCAATACCAAGCATATATGGTTCAACATGAAAAGGCTTGAAGACTGCGGCGAACAAAAAACTTTTTCCTATTTTTCAACAATATAGAATTAAAAATATAAATTATTGATATCTTTGTGATTTTAAATTAAGAGCATTTTAAGTAATTATCATTTTTACTAATAAGACTCGTTGGTTTGCATTGGTTTGGATCGTGATCATTATATTTTGTGTTGACAAATGCTTGCTAACTTTTATCTCCGAAAATTTGTCTTAAAGGGACTCTTCACATAATCTAAAGTGAGCTTCATGTTATGACGTAACATGTTCGATTCACATTGGTACCCTTTAAACCTTTTAATCCTTAATTTTCTGGTTAAAAATAGGATTATTTTCAGTTGTGATAAGTTAACCCTTTTTCCAGGTATTATAGAAATCTTATATGTTTTTAATCATTACTCTTCTTTTTTTAAGATTAACTTTATTATTAGATATTTTTAATAATTTCTAAAACGTTCCCAAAAAAATTGCTTTTCTCATGCTTGTGCGTAAAATCAAAACTTTAGATGAGCCAAAAGGTCACAGAGTCCTAATTCAGTGATGTCGCCTAAGTTTGATCTTCTCTTCTGTCTAGTTTGATGTGTTTAATATAGAGAAACGACAATATCTTCTTCACTATTGCTCAAATGAATGTTTAATAAAACATGTCACTTTGTAAATGGATGGTCACTTAAAATCTACACTCTACAGCCTATGGTCCCGTATACTATATAACTAACCTAAACATAGTTAAGTTTAAACTTTTTTTTTAGTCGATCGCAGATTCAAGAGATTTTGATTTAGATCTGAAAAGAGTTGTCACTCAAATTATTTTTTTTTCTATTGCATTCCCAAAAAAACCCTCTATATAGCCATCATTGAGAATACATAATAAATAATGGTTTGCTAATAATAATTTTATGTTTTTCTTTTGGAAAAAAAAAAGACTGTTTATATTCCATTTTTAACTGCAACATGTTTCTTTTATTGTATAAAAAACCTACAAAGCTGAGAATTATTTATAAAATTTCATATTCAAGATAAAGACCCAATTAAAAAAAATCAATTTTTCTTATATATGCACTGTAGAATGTATAGACGAAATTGCAGGTGACCATACATTTTTAGGTTGGCATGTCAGATTCGCTAAGGTACCCTTAAAAGCTTTGTTTAATAAAAAATGAATTAGATATTCATTTGAAAATTGATTAATTTAAAATGGGGTTTCTCGTGTAAAAGATACAGTTACCACGATAAAAACGACACTATCTTGTGAATCGTGTATGAATTTCAAAATTTCAAAAATGGTTTTTAAGGTAGTCTTTTAATTTTTAATGTGTTTTTTTTACCTTACCATATTAAATAAAACCATTTTTTGTATAATAAAAAAAAACGTTTGTATTGCTAATATTTTTGCATCCCAATAAAATGTGTTTGTTTGCGTTATTCAGCCTATTTTTTCCCTGTTTAATGTAAAAATAACCTATGTATTTTGAATACATGTATTTACGCGGTATTTGTACATCAGACAAATATTTCTTATTCTAATGAAGTGCCGTCTGCAAAGCCTGTATAATCATATGGTAGGGCGGACCGCGTCGTCTGTATCTCCCTTAAATTTAATACTCCTTGGTCTGGCAGAATTTGGTAAACGGCTATTTATATCCCCATCCTAGTTTTCCATTCAACTAAAGAACACCATTAAAATCATACACCATTCAGTTCAAACCATTTTATATCAACATTAAACATATGTTTAAACAACACCACGTGTGGTGAGAAGGGGGGGGGAAACTATAGTTTTGGGAGGGGGGCGGAGGTAAATGCCGTGTGTGAAGGGTGATTTGTTCCTATCAAATGTACTTAGAAGAGGTATAGAGCATAAAAAGAAAAATTACATTTTTTGGTTTATTTTTGTACTTAACATTCTTGTTACTTCCCTGAGACTAAAACTTAAAAATATTGTTCATTGATTGCTTAAAAGGTTATACCGGGTAGAATAGCTATATACAGGGTAGAATAGCTATATACAGGGTTGCCCACAAAGGATGAAACTGTAAAGACGACCCAAAACTCTAAATGCTGGACGATTTGAAGCTTGGTTTTGGTTTCTGCTTTCAATTGAGTATTTTGATGATTTACTAAATGATTAAGCACAGAAAAAAAACAGTTTTGGCCTACAAGGAACCAAAAATGCAAGAAATCGGACTAAACAAATTCCGTAAGATCGTCTCTGAAGTCTCATCCTTTATGGGTAACTCTGTATTAATTGAAGTTAATTGAAACTCCTTTCTTAAAAATTTAATATAAATTGTTCCGTTAACTTACAAATTGACACAAAAGATTAGATATTAAATTCCCAACATAAAAGTTATGACTTTCTAAGTAATAAAGTAATTTGTTTTAAGGTGATTAATAAAACATTTTCCAAAGTCATATGGAGGGAAATTTTGGTAGTTTTGGCGTCCACAGTCCATGGTTCAGAGAAATCAAGAAAAAGTATGAGTAAACCAGTTACATAAAAATGTCACAACCTCTCTAAATATATGTAGTATGTACTGTACATAGTGTATATGTAGTATGTACTGTACATAGTGTATACTATTAAGTTTTTAAAATATAGCATTAGTAAATTGCACGAAACATTCTTTAAAAGTTTTTAGAAAAGAGGACATTAGAGTCTATCTGAATAGACCATGAGAAAAGTTTTTCAGCGTATACGAATCAATGCAACTTTTTTCAATTAGAGAAACTATCCCCCACACCCTAAACTACCCCCCGACCCCTAAACTATCCCCCGACACCTTAAACTATCCCCCGACCCCATCCGGCCATACCCAGCCATAGTTCCAACGCTTGGTCAAGTCATGTTTTTTAAAAATCCTATCCTTTATCATTAATTTTACTGTTTTATTTTATTCAATCAGAAGAAACTAGTATTTTTAGAATTGATTTAGTATCAGGTTTGAACGATGATATTTTTGGTAATAAAAATATAAACACAATCATTTTTGACATGAATAACATAATAGTGATTATATACCATCAGGGATAACATTTTAGCATTATTAACTACATATGGGTAAACATATATATTTTAAACTTATGAAATCTTATAAAACAAAAAGTCAAGAAATGTATTTATTATTGAAGTTTCCTAGATTTTATTTTTAACTAGTTGTTTAGCTAGTTAATCGATAGGTAAAGTTATGTAGCATATAGTTATCTTTATATAAGCTATATAGTCGAATGATGGGTAAATCTTCCAAGTTCTGTAGCTATATAGTTATCTTGATATTAGCTATAAAGTCGAATGATGGGTAAATCTTCCAAGTTCTGTAGCTTTGTTATAGTTATCTTGATATAAGCTAAATAGTCGAATGATGGGTAAATCTTCCAAGTTGTATAGCAATATAGTTATCTTTTCATTAGCTAGTCAACCGTAAAAAAGCCGTCAATGTCCTCTAACTGTTAGTTAGTTTTTTGATTAGCTAACTAACTGAGAGAAAACTATTAACGTCCTTTAATTAGATAGTTAACTTGTTGAAAATTTTACTAACCAAAAGAAATTTGAATTAATTTCTTTAACTAGTTAGTTAGGTTGCTGATCTAACCGTTAATGTTCTTTAATTTGTTAGTTAACTTGTTGTTTTTTAGCTGGCTCAAAATATTTTCATGAACATTTTGTAGCCATTTATTTAACTTGTTGGTTAGCTATTTAGCCGAAAAGAAGTTCGTCAAAGTTTTGAACAAGATAGTGAAGAGTTACACGAGAATTCGCTGTTGTTCGAATCACGGACCTGAAAAAGTAAACCTTTTAAAACTTTTTAAAACTTTGATAGTAAGAAACTATTTTTCCAAGTCAGTATTTGTCAATAATATAAACCAATATTTGCCCAGTGCTACTGTAAAATTAAGGCAACAAACAAATTGAGTATTTGCCACAAACTCAGAAATTCTAAATCCTATATATATCTATGCAACCTGAGGGTGGAAATCTTTGCTATTTCAAACTTAGATTATTTGATGCTACAGAGTTTATAATTTAATATGTCGGAGGACTACTACGCTGGGTTGCAAACATAAAGAGATTAGAAAATCAGGGTTTGTGCCAAACAATCAATTACTTTAGCATAAAGTATTATAATAGTTTAGAAGTTGACCTTCTGTCCGCTCTTTCAAAGTTTCCTTTCATGATCTCATAAAGTCGTCCATCACAGAGAACTAGAGATTTCAACGCTAAACATCTGGTTCTCAACAGATCAATAGCTTTCTGATTCTTATCCGAAAACCTTAACAATTTATAATAAATATTTGGTTCTCAGTAGATCAATAGCTTTCTGGTTCTTATCCGAAAACCTTAACAATTTATAATAAATATTTGGTTCTCAACAGATCAATAGATTGCTGGTTCTTATCCGAAAACCTTAACAATTTACAATAAATATCTGGTNTTCTTATCCGAAAACCTTAACAATTTATAATAAATATTTGGTTCTCAGTAGATCAACAGCTTTCTGGTTCTTATCCGAAAACCTTAACAATTTATAATAAATATCTGGTTCTCAACAGATCAATAGATTGCTGGTTCTTATCCGAAAACCTTAACAATTTAAAGTAAATATCTGGTTCTCAGTAAATCAATAAATTTCTGGTTCTTATCCGAAAACCTTAACAATTTACAATAAATATTTGGTTCTTAACAGATCAACAGCTTTCTGGTTCTTATCCGAGAACCTTAACAATTTGTAATAAATATCTGGTTCTCAGTAGATCAATAGCTTTCTGGTTCTTATCCGAGAACCTTAACAATTTATAATAAATATCTGGTTCTCAGTAGATCAATAAATTTCAGGTTCTTATCCGAGAATCTTATCTACATACATCAAATGACCATTTGGTTCTTTGCAGATCAAAACCTTATCCTAGAACCTTGAAGATATAAAAGCTCTAGTCTGTTGAAATTTTATGATCAATTTTAAGTTCAAAGTTGTGCAAAATAATTGAGATTTTGCCACAAGCTTAAATTTTCTAATTTTCTATCTTTGCAACTTATATTTCAAACTTAGACTATTTAATCTAGAAGAATTTACAGAGGTCTACAATATCAAGTTGCAAAGATATAGGGATTAGAAAATCAGAGTTTGTGGCAGAAACTCGATTCCTTTGTATAAAAGGATTAGAGTTGAAGAAACAAACCTTAATACTTATTAATAACTATTGTTTCACTAGAAATATTATGGATTGTTTTTCTTAAATTAAAATCCATTGAATTGCTGTATCATTTTTGGGTTGTCAATTTAAAACAAGTTTTGATCTCAATATCACAACCGTCAATGAAAATACCTGTCCAAAACTCCTGAAGCTCTGGAAATTTAAATATAATTAAAAGAAAAAAAAATGTTTAAAAAACCTTGCTGAAAACTTTTGTTTTTAAAACATAAGTTTTTCATTTAATCATTATGTTTATGTGTAAGTATGATTTTAATGTTAAAATTTGATGTGAAAGCCACCAAAGAAACAAAATTTCGTATTTCTTTTAAAATCAAGAATATTTCAAGTTTTTTTTGTCATTATATGCACATATAAAAGTACCTTAGAGTATCATTATCCCATCTAAACTCTAGTCTCTCTAGTTTAGGGCAGAACTTAGCTAGGCTGTCAATCATGTGATCAACATGGATCTTGGTTGTAATAGATTCAGAGGTTCCCATAACCTTAACAATGTAGATTCAGAGGTTTCCAAAACATTAACAATATAGATTCAGAGGTTTCCATAACCTTAACAATATAGATTCAGAGGTTCCCATAACCTTAACAATATAGATTCAGAGGTTCCCATAACCTTAACAATATAGATTCAGAGATTCCCATAACCTTAATAATATAGATTCAGAGGTTCCCATAACCTTAACAATGTAGATTCAGAGGTTTCCATAACACTAACAATATAGATTCAGAGGTTCCCATAACCTTAACAATATAGATTCAGAGGTTCCCATAACCTTAACAATATAGATTCAGAGGTTCCCATAACCTTGATAATATAGATAAAGAGGTTCCCATAACCTTAACAATATAGATTCAGAGGTTCCCATAACCTTAATAATATAGATTCAGAGGGTCCAATAACCTTAACAATATAGTTTCAGAGGTTCCCATAACCTTAATAATATAGATTCAGAGGTTTCCTTAACCTTATAAATTTAAATTCAGAGGTTCCCATAACCTTAATAATTTAGATTCGAGGTTCTCATGACTATGATAATTTAGATTCAGAGGTTTCCATAACCTTAATAATATAGATTCAGAGGTTTCCATAACCTTAATAATTTAAGTTCAGAAGTTCCCATAACCTTAATAATTTAAATTGAGAGTTTTCCTTAACCCTAATAATGTAAATTCAGAGGTTCCCATAACCTTAATAACTTAGATTTAGAGGTTCCCATAACATTGATAATTTAGATGCAGAGGATCCCATAACATTAACAATGTAGATTCAGAGGTTCCCATAACATTAACAATGTAGATTCAGAGGTTCCCAAAACATTAAAATTACAGGTTCAGAGGTTTCCATAACATAAACAATTTAGAATCAGAGGTTCCCATAACATAAACAATTTAGAATCAGAGGTTCCCATAACATTGCTAATTTAGATTCAGAGGTTCCCATAACATTGATAATTTAGAATCAGAGGTTCCCATAACTTTATAAATATGTCTATTAGAATTCTATGAAATATCCCAGCACCTTAATATGAAGGTACAAATAAACAAATATTGCCACTAATATACTATTTAACAAAACTAACCAGAATCCGAGCATTAGTTAATCTGTGTAGAACAGCATTCCAGAGCGTATCCGTCACGTGACCCATCCCGGAGCATCCTAACCCTTCAAGCTGTTCTCCATACCTTTATTATTAATTTAGAATATAGTCACGTGGAACTAAAGAAAATAGCATGTAAGCTTAAAATTTGAAATGTTATTAATCCTAACTCCTTTTATTGAAGAACTATTGAAAAGAACTAAAAATATTAAAATTCCTAACTGAATGTTACGAAATATTTGCCTATCTTTTATCACAGGAGGTACGAGGTCACAAAGTTGTACCACCATTGTTGCGTAAATTTGATCTTCTCCTAATGTCTAGTTTGCAGTTTTGTTATGATTGTTTTGGACCTTATAAGCTTTTTTAATCACATTAAACTAAGCTTTCGTTGCGTCTACAATGATCTGAACATTACAACACTGACCAAAGAAATTGTGGAATTGCGATGATTCTTTATCAATATTTGCTATTAATATTTTTTTTCAAAATTATCAATTTTATTATCATTACTTTTAATATTATTGTTATAATTATTATTATTATTATTATTATTATTATTATTATTATTATTATTATTATTAT